TGGCCGGGAGCGGCCACTGCACTCCAGTCTGGGCGACAAAGTAAGACTCCAACTCAAAAAAAAAAAAGCAGCACATTTTGCTATATTGGACATTTGTTTGTTTTAACATGTTGATGACTTTCAATATAGTTTCTTTCTTATGCATTTATTTCATGTATCTGTAAACATTATGAGGAGGGTTCCTTAGGCATTGCCAGACTACTAAAGGGACTGTGGCTCAAAAAAGGTTAAAAGCCCCCATGTAGGTAGGATATGGTCTTTTCGCCTAGCAGGAGGAAGAAAGTGAAGGAGGGACAGGAAGGGCAGGGAGTGCTCCTGAGAGGGCAGAGCAGTGGGCTGTGTCTGGGAAGGGGCTGGGGGGTAGAGCAGAGGTTACCATGGAGTATTTTGTGGTTCTTCTGCTTGATTGAAAACTAGCAAGTAGGGTTAGAAAACGTAAAGTACAATTAGGAGAAACTTCCAGGTCTCAAGACAAGTAAGACCTGAGGAGGTCAAGGGAAGAGGCACCTACCTGCTCTCTTGGGAGAGGTGATCAGGCTGAGAGTGACCAGGAAGCTGGCAGAAGATGCCTTCCAGGGGAGGTGGCTGCTAAGGGGCGGGGCAGTCTGGCAGTCCCAGCTTCCTGTTGTTGCTACCCCTGGGAACCTGGCCATGTTGCCCTTGGCCAAGGCCCAGCTTGCGTTGTAGCAGCCTGCTCCCAAGGTCAAAAAAGTAAGTCAAAGGTGTAAGTAAGTAAGTAAGGACAGGGTGGACACCCACTCTGTCCTGCCTCCTCAACACCACATTGAGCTGGCCGGAAGCAGCCGTGCCCCAGCCCCCACAGGCCAGAAGACATAGAATAAGCTGTGATTTTTGGCCCTCATCCAGTTTCACTTGATCCTGAGATAGTTTGGGTTTCAGATTGCTCATCCTCAGAGGTCCCCTCACCCTCCTGGTGCAGAGAAACCTGTAATGCCTTCCCTTGAACAGAGGCCTGTGGGCAGGTATTTCCACCCCAGAAAAATAGAGAAGATCCAATTCCCCCCCTTACTGCTCCTGCCCACACTGTGGACCTGCTCTTTGATCCCTGGACCTCTGGCTTGGATACTAGAATTCTATACATGGTGGCAGACCCAGGAAACGGGGTTAGCTGCCCAGTGAGCAAGCAGTTTTAGAAGCCAGCTCTCCAGCCTTACAAGCCCTCCCTACTTGGGAAGAGAGGGGAACAAGTCTTTGTTTCTTTGCCCCTCCCAACCCAAAACTTGTTCCCAGTTTGCTATTCTCTTCATTGTCTCTGTTTCAGTGGCTAGGCTCACCACCCACCCAAATCTGTCTCTAGAGTTGCACTGTCTACCCAATGGGTAGCC